TGTGCAGACATGTTGTCTTCCTAGTGTAAGAACATGAAAAAGTAAGTGGAACCCAAAACATGCAATAGAGATTGGGAGAAGGAAAGAAATTGCTCAAAAGAGGAAACAACTGGGATTAGAGAAAGGAGAAAAGGAAAGAAGGAAGGAAGGGAAAATACATATATGTACACAGAAGGGTGGCTGGGATAACTGCACTGTTGATGTCTAATGGTTTATTGAAAAGAACAGTTAATGCCTTATTTATTGATTGATTGGTTGATCAATTTTTCATGCTTATATCTGGTAATCTGAACAAGTAATTTGAAAACAACAATATGCAACATAACAACCATCACTGAATTCCTATCATCTTGTTTGCTGAAACTCTGTATCGTTTATAATTATTTTTTGTTTTTATTTTTTATTCTCTTTCATGGTTTGGTTAATCTTGCATTCTTACATTTGGTAATCTGACCAATTCCAATGAAGATAAAAATATATAACAACAACTGTTAATCCTTATCATTTTGTTCTGAAACCCTGTATCATTCTTATTGTTTTTGCTTTGTTTTGTTTTTGTCTATGTTGTTGGCATTTTGCTATTGTTCTTGTTTTTTAAAATTCTCCTTTAAAATAAAAAAGAAAGAAAAGAAATGTTAAATCTAGTGTTTCATGAATATAAATTATGACTGCATGTAAGTTATCAAGCTTTATAAGCAAAACACTTTGCTACTTTAATATCTCCTGTGTCTGTTAATGTCAAATCCCCCTATAAAATGTCATTTCCGTTGTTCAAGGCTTTCACATCGCAGAACCAAAGCTATAGTCTGAGAAGATTACATGCTTTCTCATTATTTCAAAAGTCAGTTCTCTAACAATAGAGAAGATGGACTGGGCTTTTTCATTCACACCTGTCGATCTATGTAACATGCTCTTTAATTTAGCCACCTCTTCTAAATAAAAGTGAATAATTAGAAACATCTCCATAACACCCCATATTTTCTCAATGGCTGTTCATTCTACACAGAAAATACTTCTCAACTCTGTCCCTTCATCTTAGTCTCAGCTTTCATGTCCTCTTTCCTGAACTGCTAACACTTCTCCATTCACTGTTATTTCTGCCTCCATTCTTGCTTCTCCCTTCATTTATTCTCCACCCAAGATCTGGATGAAATTTTCAAATTGAAAGCTAACCTCTCCTCTAATTAAAGTAACAATTCCCTTACACGCTTAGGCTAACATTATTACAATGATTTTTTCACTGAACATTTTGTTAAAATGTTCCTTTTGGGCCGCACCACTAAACACCAGGCACAGAATGAGTGGTTACAGCTCTGCCAAGTCCACAAGACACACAGACCTGGAGGGTGCTGGTGAAACTGCGGCTCAGCCGGCCCCACCTCCAACTTCCTCTCCCCTGAGTCTCCCAAGGGAATGATTCCTAACCACAGGTCAGTGCTCTGAGTAATAAGTTTTCCAAGGGTTTTCCTTTCAGCTTTTAAAACAATTAGAATTTTCAGAAACAGCACATCTCTTCGTTTCTCACATTTATTTCATTTATGAGTATGGTCTCTGGTATGGTTGATACATTGTGTCAACTTGGGGAGTCTAGAGGTTTGGCTCAGTGACTCAGCAGGAAGCCAGGGTGCTTACTTTGTATACATCCTGAGCCTGTGGAAGAGGAGGGCATGGAAATTATGTGAGAGCTACATGACCCTTAGGTGGGAGTAGCTTGTTTACAAAGTAAGGGAGGGAAAGAAGCTGCTTGCTGCGTTTCTACCCTTTTGCTCTGGCTGCATTGCTGTTCAGCTGCCATTCCCCCCTTTGCTCTTGTTGCTTTGCTATCTGCTGCCTCAGAGCCACCCAAGTATGGACTGAAACCTCCACGAACTGTAAGCTAAATAAAGCTTTCCTTCCTTCATTTTGGCCGTTGGGTATTTTGTCTCAGCAACTAGAGAAAAGTAACCAAGACAGTCTCTATTTGCATCCATTTACCTATAAAAGCGTTGAGTTTATCTTTTTTTAATAGCTGCGTAATACTGCATTGTATAAAAATACCACAGCTCCCCCCCCCTGCCCCATTCCTCAGTTGATGGACATTTGGGTTGTTTCCAAGATTTAGCTATGACAGATTTTGCTGTGATAAACACGGTTGCACATATATCACTGTGGTATGATGTTTTTAATTCTTCTGGGAAAATACCCAGGAGGGGAATAGGTGGGTTAAGTGGGACTTCTAATCCTGCTTTTGTGAGGAATGTCCAAAATGATTTCCACAGTGGCTGCACCAGTCTATACTACCACTAGCAATGGAGAAGTGTTCTTTTTTCCCCACAGCCTCTCCAGCATTTGCTGTTGGTTGATTTCTTAATGATAGCCATTCCTTCTGGGGTGAGATGGAATCTCAGTGTTGTTTTAATTTGCATTTCTCAAATTACTAATGATGTTGAACATTTATTCATATACTTATTCACCATCAGTATTTCTTCCTCTAAGAAGTATGTATTCATCTCAGATGCCCATTTTTGTATTGGGTCTTTGAGTTTCGGGGGCCCGATTTTTTTCATTCTTTATATGTTCTAGATAGGAGTCCTTTGTCTGAGGGGCAGTTGGCTAAAATTTTTTCCCAATTTGTGGATTTTCTTTTTTTCTGTTGGTGATTTCTTTTGATGTGCCAAAACTTTTGAATAAGATGAGATCCCAGTTGTTGATTCTTTGAAGTATTTCCCATGCAGTTTGATTTTTGTTCATGAACTCTCTGCCTACCCTCTATTTTCAAGATTTCTACCTACTTTTTCTTCCAGCACGTTTAATTTCTTGTTGTTGAATTATTTCTTCGTTCCTTATTATTTTAAAGAGATCCTTCCTTTCACGTTTGTTAGTGGCCATTTTGTCTGGAAGGTCTGAATGTCTATCTTCAGCTTTGTTCAAGCGGTTTTGCCAGCTTTCGATGGAATTTTAAATTTCCATGGATATATGTTTTAATCTGTTTTATGCATTCTAGTTCTTTCCTGTATTGTTTATTCAAGGTTTCCGTGACTTTTCTATGCTCTTCTATTTTCTTATCTTTGTTTTCTTTGGATGTGCTGAGAAATTCTTTCATGATTGTTTTCATTTCTCTTTTTACCTGACAGAATGTTTCTGATCTGATGTCTTCTATGGCCTGATGGAGTTGTTTCTTTACTTCAGATGCTATCATTTCAGAAATTTCATGTGCATGACTTCAAGCTCTTCTGTGTGGATGTCTCCTAGACTTCTTTTTGGTTGGGTGGAGGTCTGAAATTGCATTTTGTTCCTTTGTTTTGTCATTTTTGAAAATCCAGAGATTTCTTGGAACCTAGCCTCCCTCCCATGATGGTGTGGGAGTGGCAGGGTGACAATCCAAAGGTTCCCAGTGGTTAGCGTGGCTCCTGCCCTGGTGTGTGGGGGCAAGGTGCAGTCATAGATACTCCCGAAGCTTTCTGGCATTCATTTGCCTCCCAGGCTAGTGGGCGAGGGGCAAGGGCCAAGGGGCAAGGGAGGATCACTGGGTTTCCTGAAGCTGTCTGGGGTTCAGCCTGGCTTCCACATGGGTGAGGGGGTGCAGATCGTGGTCACCGAGGCCTCAGATGTTGCCCAGGACCCAGCCTGTTTCCCATGCCATTGGGGGAGGGGTGAGGATGGATTCACCGAGGCTGGTGACACTGTCTGGATTTCAGCTTGGGTCCCATGGGGGTGCGGGTGGTGATGGGAGTGGCCACTGAGGCCCCAGTTGGGCTCCGCCTGCCTCGCTCCGTGGTGGGGGAGGCATGGCAGCAGCTCTCCCGGGTTCCTGAAGATCTAGACTTAACATTTCTTATGGATATTGAAAGTCTGTTGGTTGTGCTAAAAGCCCAGAATCTTGTCTTATGTTGCTATATTTTTAATTAATAAGTATTTTAATTTTATTTGTTTTTGTACAAAATTGGAAAGATTTCCATTATTAGGTATGATTTAATCAAAATGACTTCATAAATGGCATTTTGGTCAATTTTTAAAATGAGTATATATTTAAAAAATGATAACTGTATTTTTATTTGCCTAGCATCAAAGGTGGGTTTGATGAATTAGATGACTATTATCCATTTTCAGGAAATTTTAATTAATAGATGAGAAAATTAGAAACAGGATACCTTTTATATACTAAGAATGTCTTTTAGTTTGTTGCTTGTCTTGAGGTGCTCTTCTATGAGTTATAAGGTGATTTATTAGTACAACATAAGAACTCTGGATCACAATTCAATCTAAAGAGTTATCTTTTAGTTTTGTTCCTTTATTATTTCAAAGTATCAAGTATCCAACTTTTTTAATGGATGTTTTTAATTTCTTTGAGACAAATTAATATATGAGGGCATTCTCTTAAGAATGGAAAAGAATATAATATAGAGATACAGAGAAATAGATAAATAAATAAATTTTCAATAAAGTTGAAAATTTACATTTCCATGTACAGTGTTCAACAGTCAGGCTTTTGCTCTAGTTCCGAGGTCAATTTGAGGTCCTGTTTCAGTGTTAAATACTTTGAGTTGCTTTTGCATCCTTAACGTGGTGTCCAAATGAAGGTGTATGTGGTGGTACGTGTATTTGTGTATATGTACACTACTGTCTGTGTATAACCACCTTCACAGAATCTTACCTATAGATGAAAGTCCCTCTCCTTAACTTTACCAGCATTTTAGAATTCAGTACCATAGGCTGATTTTATACATCTTAATGTTAGAAGTTTTCCCATTTTTATTTGTAAAAATTTGTTTGTGAGTTGAAGCTTTTCCGTGGACTCCGATGGGTGCTCCCTCTTACTGTGTCTAGCTTCCCTTTTTTCTTTAGTTCTAAACCCACTGAAATACCTCACTCCCTGGCAGCCATGCGTTTCCCTTTACAGTCATACAGCACATCAGCTTTCGGTATATTTTCCTGTTATAAAGCTATGAGGCATTTCTGTACACTTTAAGTACTGCCTTTCAGGTCCGCTGCCCAGCCCATGTTGCATTTAACATTGATACCTGTTCGGTGTTTGGCCTTTGGTGTTCTTACAGACTCTCTTCTGCTTTCAGTTAACCGCCAGGACTTTGCCTGCTGTGCAGTCAGATGAGCGACTTCAGCCTCTGCTCAACCACCTTAGGTAAGAGAAAGGCACAAAGTTGTGGTATTAAGTGCAAGTTGGTTAGTGGGTGAAGTATGTGCAGTGGTTGAAACTCCACTTACTGAAAACTTGAAACCTTTTTTCTTAAATGGTATTATTCAAATTGAAGTATTGAAGTTCTCAGTGTAACATATTGCATTTATTACCCTTGACTTCCCTTTCTTTTTTCTTCAGTAACTTTCCATTCCCAGACAGATGTGTCTAGCCTCGGTGTGATTGTTTTGTTGGGATAAAAGGGAGAATGGAAGAATGGGAAACTGGTGTTTCAGTGGGGACTGAGTAGCATATGTCTTAGGTGAAGTGCCTGAGTTCCCTAGCTGTGTTGGTGTGGTAAGAAACCCAGAGGTCTTTTTTTTTTTTTTTTTTTTTTTTTTTGGTTTTTCTCCGGTACCGGGAACCGAACTCATGACCTTGCGCTTGCCAGGCAGGCGCTTTTTGCCGCTGAGCTAAATCCCCAGCCCCAGAGGTCTTGTTTAAACCCTTCCTACACATCCAGATCTGTTGGTGGTTTAGTCTCCTGAGTTTTCTCTTACTGCAGTAGCCTCTTGTCTGTTCTTGAGGCCAGCTTTACCCTCTCTGACATGTCTCCTATCATCACCATATGTAATTACATTATTCATCAGTTAAAAGCCCTTCTCTGCCTCTCCATTTTTTGTGTGAAGCTGAACTACCAGGGTCCTGACCTGTCTCTTAGGACTCCTCTTTCAGCACTAGGACCCTGAATTTTAGTTTGATGCCATGAAATTCCTCTGTATAGCTTGCTTTTGCTTGGTAACCTGTATGCCCTTGAAGATTGTTTCCTCTTGCCACTTCTGGTCATGCATATGAATTTAAATACAAGTGTAATTTTTATTTATGTATGTATGCTGTATGTCATAATCGCATTCACCTGGGGAACAGGTACATGTGTGTGTCACTTCTCAGTCATTTCTACTCTACTTTACCTCCATTTCCACTCCCTCTTCCCCAGATCCCATTCCCATCTCCACGAAGTCTACCTCTCCATTTCCTACCATCTCTCTTCTATTTTGCTTGTTAAATTATTTACGGTTTATATCTCTCATATAAAGAAAACCATGCAATATTTATATATGTCTGATTTATTTTACTCAGCATATGGTTCCACAAATTACCCGTTTTCCTGCAAATGTCATCATCTGTTGATGGGCATATAGGTCACTTCCATAATTCTATTGTGATTTGTGCTGCTATAAACACAGAAAACATGTGTCATTGTAATATGATGACTTTTAACTCTTTCAGAAAGTACCCAGAAGAGGAATGGCTGGATGACATGGAATTTCTACTTTTAGTTTTTTGAGGCATCTCTATACTGATGTCCATAGTGGTTGTACTAATTTACATTTCCACTAACAATGTAGGAGGGTACTTTTTTCCCCATAGCCTCACCAACATTTGTTATTTGAATCTTTGATGGTAGCTCTTATGGAGGTAAGATTGCAGTATTGATTTGATTTGCATTTCTCTAATGACCAAGGATGCAGAACATTTTTTTCTGTATTTATTGGCAATCTGTATACTTCTTCCTTTGAGAAGTATCTGTTCTTCGCAATTGCTCTTTTTTTTGGGGGGGGGGTTGGTTTTTTTATAGGGGGTCCAATTTTTTGAATTCTTTATATATTGTAGATACTCATTCTATGTCTGAAAAGTAGCTGGTGAGATTTTTTTCCCACTTGGTAGGTTGACTTCTCACTCTGTTGGTTGTTTCCTTTTTGAGGTATTATACAAGGGCAGTTGGGGCTCTGTTCAGAAAGTTCGTGCCGGTGCCTGTGTTTTCAAGAGATTTACCTAGTGTTTTCTTCTAGCAGATTCAGTGTTTCTATTTAATATCTAGGCCTTTGATTCATTTTGATGTTAGTACAGGTTGAGAGATATGGATCTAGATTTATTCTTCTGCATGCAAATAATCAGTTTTCTTAGGACCAGAGAGGCTATCTTTTTCACTAGGGTGTATTATTTGCCCATTTGTTAGAAATCAGATAGGTGAAAGTGCATTTGGTTGTTCCTACAACCTCAGTTCTGTTTCATTGGTCAACATGTCTGTTTTTGTGCCAGTGCCATGTTGTTTTTACTACAGTAGCTTTGTAATGTATCTTGAAATCTGGGATTGTGATGCCTTGTGCTTTGCTCCTTTTTTTCCTCAGGAGTGCTTTGGCTATACCGGATTTCTTCTGGTTCATGATAAATTTTAGAATATTTTTCTAGTTCAGTAAAAATTTGTACTGGTATTTTGTTGGGAATTGCATTAATTCTATTTATCATTTTTGTCAGTATGGCCATTTTGACAATACTGGTTCTGCCTATCCAGGAACAGGGTATGTCTTTCCATTTTCTGATGTCCTCTTTATGTATTTTGTGGAGTGAATAATTATAAATTGTCAGCAATATTTTCTTGTTTTTTTCTGCATGAAGTTTTTATATTTTATAAGCCACATTGTCAGGAATTTTCCTATAAAGCCATTGGGTCAAAAGATAAACTGAAAGGATCAAATCTTGCCTCTAGTCAATGCTTGATTCTGTGAGATAATGATGGTTTTTCTTTTCTCCATCTCAGCACGGTAATTTTCAACTAGAATTTAACTACTGACATCTCTTTAGGTCCTTGAAACATGCAGGAACTGTACATTTGTTTAGGGGTTTGATTCTCTGCAGTTCACTCATGATTGGTTGCTAGGCAACCAGGACTAGATGCTACATGTAATATGTGCCAAGTTGCTCTTGTATTAAGCCAAATGGTTTCTCATTTTATTACCATGTCAGAGACATCTGTACGTAGGGTGGAGGCTGATGTGCAAAGTTGGATGATTCTTGTTCTACCAAGTGACCTTGTGCTGTGCCTTTTAGGCATGTTGAACTGTCTCTTTGGCTGTCCAAGTGCAGTGCTTTTATTTTCATTTTTTAAAATGTCAAGACAAGAAGGAATATTTGGTTGGAGAGAGTCTAATGATAATCTTGTTAGGAAAAATAATTATTATTGATTTACATGACCCATATAATTTAAATGTTACCTAGAAGAGAACATTAGAAAATTGAGACTGAGATCATTATTAGTTCTAATTTTGTTTAGTGTCTCTAATGATCAAAGGGGAATGATGATTAACATTTTAATTAAATTTGTCAATGAAACTAATTATACAAATACCTGTAAAGATTGAGGTAGCAGTATAAAGAAAGTCTCAAATTATTTTATAGGAATTAGACACTCAAAGAGAATTAGTGTAATACTTTGCCAACCTTCTAATCTAGGATATTGCTTAACAGTATTGTATATGTTATTAAGACTGTAGAAGTGATACCTAAATTTTTTTTAAGATGAGCTGTTTTCTGGATAGAACCTAAATTAAGCACAGAAAAACATTTTGTTTCAGTATTTTATGGAAATACCAGCTTATTTTTATTCATTAGTAGCGTTCATCATTCATTTGTTACTTAGTGCCCATTATATGCCTGGAATAAAAATTAAAAAACCATCTATTATCAAGAAATTGCAAGTTTAAGCTGGGCATGGTGGGCAGTGGCTGTAATCTTAATAGTCTAGAAGTCTGAGGCATGGAGGATTGCAAAGTCAAGTCCAGTCAGGGCAATTTAGTGACACCTGGTCACAAAATTAAGGACTGAATTTTTTTTCTTAAAAGGGCTAGGCATATATCTCAGTATGAGGTCCTTTTGTTTAACCCCAGTAGTGGGGAAAATTTTTGCAAGTTTGGTTTCATTTGAGAAATCAATACTAAAACAAATTATAAAATTTGTAAACCTTTCAATTAGAATTAAACACAGAGTACATAATTTGATTGTTTCTCTCATATAATTATTTCCCTAAGTAACAAGTCCATAACCAACTTGTTTTGATTTTTTGTACTTTTTGGCATTGTAATGGATCACATTGGATCCTCATGTTGGACTAAATTTTAATCTCACTTGGAGGATGTTTTCATTAACCATGAAGGAGAATAAAGGAGGACAAGAGGATTATGGAATAAGTTTGGTTGCTGAGATAGTAAGTTCAGCATTTGCAGAATTTGAAGCTTGAAATGCCTGTGGGACATATGTGGGGAACATTTAGAAAGCAACTGAGAGCAGACCCCCCGTTTAAGACTGTACCTCACGTGTGTTTGCTAATTGTCACTGTGTGGCTTGGATTACTGTGCAGGGCATGGTTGATAGCACCAAGGAGAAACAGTGGAGAGGAAGAGGGGAAATGGAATAGGACCCGCAGAATATCCCTATTTCAGTGTCCTGTGATGGGCAGCAGCACAGGGGTAGATGAGTTAGAAACCACTGGAGACATCAGGCAAGAATCCTGCACAAAGAGGAACACAGCACAAGGATGATGGCATCCGCAATGCTAAGGGAAAGCTTCCCAGAACAGATGGCAGACACTGTCTCGTGGCATGGGGAATTTAGCAGAGCTACAGGGGACCACTGAGTCAGGTTCCTGGCAGCCCCTCCAGGCTGTGTCATGCACTGTATGGGTACAAGTGTGAGCCTGAGGGTCAGGACAAGAAATCAGGGTGGTTGGCATTTGCAGAATACTACCCAACCTAGATTTTTTTAGTTTATACTATACCTAGAAGACCCCAGTGAGGATTGTAGTGGTGATTTATCTATATTAAAGGTTTGACAAAGGAACCATAGGAAGTTCTTGTTAGAAAATCTAACTTTTTTCTTTCAGCAGATTTAGTGTTTCTGTTTTAATATTTAGTTCTTTGATCCATTTCAATTTTAGTTTAGTGCATGGTGATAGACATGGGTCTAGTGTTAGTCTTCAGCATGTGGAAAGATAGTTTTTCTAGCACCATTTATTGAAGAGGCTGTCTTTCTTCCAGTGAACATGTTTGGCACCTTTGTCAAAGATAAGGTGGCTGAGTATGCTTGGAGTTTTTCCTGCCTCTTATCTGTTCCCTTGATCCTCACATCTGTTATTTATTTATTTATTTTTCCAGTACTTTGCTGTTTTTATCATGATAGCTTTGTAGTGTAGTTTCAAGTCAGGGATTGTGATGCCCCCTGCCTTATCTTTGTTGCCCAGAATTGCCTTTGCTATTGTAGGTCTCTTCTGGTTCCAAATGAATTTTAGGATTGTTTTCTCTAATTCTATAAGATATTGCTGTTGGAATTTCCATCAAGATTGAATTAAATCTATATAACAATTTTAGAAGTATGGTGATTTTCATTATATTGGGTCTTCCTAAGCAAGAGCAAGGGTTATCTTTCCATTTTCTGATATCCTCTTTGATCTCCTTTTTCAGAGTACTATAGTTTTTCAATGTGGAGGTCTTTTACTTCCTTCGTTAGATTGATTCCTAAGTATTTCAGTTATTTTGGATGCTATTGTGAAAGATGTGGTTTCCCTAATTTCTCTCTCAGTGAGTTTGTTATTTGTGTACAAGAAGGCTATTGATTTTTGGGTGCTGACTTTGTAGCCAGCTATGCTACTGAATTTGGTAAATCTAGAAATCTTTTGGTGGAGTTTTTGGAGTCTTTTATATAGAGTATCATGTCATCCACAAATAACGATCATTTAACTTCTTCCTTTCCTACCCTTGTTCCTCAGACACACACATGTGTGGTTTCTCTGTTGTGAGAAACCAGAAGTGTAAACAAGGACTAAACTGTATAGTAGATATTGTGAAATAGGAAGAAAAGATTCAAATGGGAAGGGGAACTAGGGAAGGGGGAGGGGAAAAGGAAGGAAGGGAAAAGAAAAGAAGAACAAAGCTTTTGAAAATAGGGGAGGAAGGGGGTTGAAGGGGGGGTATGGTAATGTAAAAGTACAGGAATTAAAATATCATGTATAGGTAGAGTCCCTATGATGAACGTGACCATTATGTGTACTTAAAATGTACCAGTAATCCTAATTAATTAAAAAATGTCTAATTTTTAAAAATGAAAAATACTGGTATTTCCACTCCTCAAAAGAGATAAATGCTGGATATTGTGTCATGTTCCTGTAATCGTAGCTACACAAGAGGCTGAGGCAGGAGGATTGAAAGTTTGAGGCCAGCCTGGGCAACAAAGTGAGATCCTTTCAAGAGAGGAAGGTGGAAGGGAATGGATGAATTACTTCATGATACTTTACTGTTATCCTCAATTGATAGTAGGAATGCTTCAGTCAGAAAAATGAACTTGCTTAGAATTTTAAAAAATGTAAAATTCCAGAATGCCACAGAGAATTTGAACGAATCGTTATACTTTGTCATCAAAGGAATGTTACTGTGACTTCACTGTCATCCCTATGGTTACTTTCTATGGTGACTTTAGTGTACTGATTTCATTTTTGAGTTATATGAAGGACTTTAGCTGTGTTCCCACAAAGACAGAAGTTCATTATAAGTAAGTGCAGGATTTTGCTTCCCTAATGATAAAACTTACAGGGTGATATTAGACTAGCAAAGGGAATATGTTAAATATTGTTATTTTAAACTTCTTAGCTCACTTATAAATGTAAAGTATGAGAGAAAAATGTGCAAGCCATATGATAACCTAATGGTGTGACTGAGATTTGTTCCCTTAAAAATTATGCTGCTCCCCATAGCATATGTACCTTTCCCCTTCATTCTTCCACTTCAAGATAGAAAGTATGTGGGCAGCAGCATATTACAGGTCACTGTAAAGGTGGCTTTTATGTAAGATTTTGTCCTTAATTAAATAACAACTAACTTTAAAATGTGCTTCTTATGTATTTTCCCAATTTTAAAAGCATTTTTCAGCCTATAATAAGCTAAAAAGTCAAGTAAAGTTAAACCATGATAGCGAAGAGAGGCATTACGTGTAGGAAGTGCTCCATTCCATATAGGTTAACTTGAATGCATCATAGATTTGTAAACACATGTTTATACTGACCTTTCTTTTAAAATCACTTGGAATAATGAAAGCATCTTTCTTCATTTGGTTTTATTACAGACTACTTTATAGGATTCCTTTTCCTCAGGCAGTAAACCTGCTTCCTGTGTACACATTCTGGTTTATTCCTTTCAGGGTTAGGCTGTCACAGATTTTACATCGAACAACCTCTCTGAGAAAGCTTTCCCAAGTAAGTGCCCATAGTGGTGCAGTGCTGTGTTCTCTTGTGGAACTGGCTCTTATTTTGAAATCGGAAAGTTGTGTGGGAGTTCATATGTCTGTTGTGCAAGCTACGAAAACAAATGCTGAGAAATGTCAGTGGGCTGGGACTCCCACCCGCGGAGGGCGCGAGGGAAGGCCCGAAGCGTGGTGCCCTTGCTGGCTCCTCCTCGTCAGTCACTCCCGTTTCTAGTCTCCAGCAGCACTGGAACTATTGAAATTGTTCTGCGTGGAGCAGCACGAGTTTTCACTGATTACTGTGAAGGCTTTCCAGGTTCCAGGTGAGATATTAATACATTAAAATATATTATTTCCTGTTACTACCTTCGCATTAGAATTTTTTCATGTGTGTATGGAAAATGTTCATACATTCTTAGAGATGTGTTTGTCAAGAGTCAGCATTTTATTAGAAGCAGCTCCTTGTAGTAAGGGTCCTATAACAGACACCAACTATATACAAAGCAGCTAATAGGTGTGGTTTCTTAACGCAAGAAATTTACGCTTTTAAAGCAACTGAAATTCCCGCCTTTACATACACACACATGCACACAGAGGAATAATTTCTTCACCTAGTCAAGTAGAGAATAAAGAAAAGAATGGGAAGTCTTAGGAGAGATTATGTCTGCTATGGATTCAGTTACAAATTTAATGACATTTAATGTGTTTGGTAACAATGTAAGTTTTCATATATATAATTTGGGAAAAAAGAGCAAATTTTTAACTCATTGGCTAGGCCTTTGTTGTAATCACTATGCATATTTTTATATAATTATAGTGAAAGCGATTAAACTTTTAAAGTTCTTTTACCTAATATATTGTAACAGTAATAAAATAGAATATTGATTTTCATAGCACTAATTTATGTGTCTGTGTAACAGTCAGTTGAGGACAGATGCTTTTATTTTTACTTACCCACTCCCGAGTTACTGGGTATTGAGGGTTTTCTTTGGCTGGATAAACTTGGAAAGGAAAATTACATACCGTTAGCAGTTCTCTATGACCAGGTGAAGCCTGGGGAGAAGTGGTGCAGTAATGACTGCATCACAGAGGAACTGCTCCGAGGGTAACAAATGATTTCTGCAGAAATGTAAATTACTGATTTGCTTTTTAATGGTATAGGAAGAAGATAGAAATCTGCTGTCTTTAATTGGCTACCTCGCCAAGGAGAACACATTCTTTGTAACACTTTTTCAGGAGGGTGCGCACAGTGGCTGTGAGTGTTGAGGCACCTTGTGTGAGAGCCGCTGGGTAATACTTGCTCACGTGCCTTTTAGCACTCTGAAGAGATTTTATCTATTGAACACATATTTAAGGGAACTAATAGAAGGTGCCAGGCATGGTGTAGGTTCTAGGGATGCATACTTACGTTTGCCTTTGTAGGACTTAATGTTTGTTAAAAAAGAGAACTTTATCTAAAGTTATTAGAGTAAATCATGATGATTGGCATAGCGTGAGTCTTTGGGAGCACATACCATGGAAATGACAGAGGTGTGAATGTCACAGTGGTCTTGCACCTTTTCCCTAAGAGACTTTTAGATTTCTTTTAACCCTCTGCCTCTAGTGTTTCTTAGGAATTTTTGGATTGTGCATGCCAGCAGTTTTTCTAGAAAGCAAAATTTTGATTTCTTTTGCTTTTCAGGTATTTTTTACTGTCAGTAGATATTAAATTTCCTGTATTTTACTCACTGGGTTTCTTCATAACATTGATTACCCTTTCATTAAGTAATAAAGAAAAATTAGTTATTTTACACTGTTAGTCATAAAGCACTTACAGAGTACATTGTGATAACGATGTCATGGCAGAGAAGTTTCTTCAAAGGCGGGAGAAAGCCCTGCAGCAGTTACTGTAATATATGAGCAAATACAAAGTAACTTGTAAAGCGCTGTGCCATTGAACTCTCTGTGAAGACAAAGTTTTCTATTCCTGTGCTATTCAGTCCAGTATTGAGGGCTTGAAATGTGACCAGTACAACTGAAGGGCTGCATTTTAAATTTTATGTAATTTTAATTAAAATTTAAATTCGAATTGCCAGGTAGAGCTAATGGTTATTGGATTGGACACAGCAGTTCCATATAGTATTTGAAATACATTTAGATAACTACATTTAAAAAAAAAAACAAAAACCCACACTTGTGGGGCCTGGAGTTCCACATCTGAAGTGGTCTAGCAGAAGTATCCCATGCAGTTGTTGTCAGACACTGTGGGGGTCAGGAGGCTCCTAGGCCAGGGCGGCTCCCGCCTCTGCTGTGGATTTTGGTTCTTTGCACCTGAGCTTTCCTCTTGTGCAGGGCTATAGCAGACTCCGTGAAAGAACCTGGAAGCGACCCAACTGGTTAACTGACTCCTGCCCCGGGTCTTTCCGTGTACACTAATGCTGCACAAGAATTTAAACATTGAGTGAACCTAAGAATAGCCCCTCATATTCCAGAAGCAGTCATCTGTATTCATTCACTCAGAAGGCCACGGAAGAACACAACGTGAAGACTCACATAATGTCCTCTTTTTGTTTTTAATTACTACTTAGAAAGCCAATACAAGTTGACTTTTAGAAGCCCTCTTGCGATAGCAGTACCTTGGCTCTTGACATACTGCATAAATGCAGCCTTATGGAGGCTGCTAGGAGCAGTCTTCCACTGAGGTGAGTAGTGTTTTCCTCAGATCTTCCTGTGCCTTATGTCACCTCACCCTGTGCGTTACCATATTACATTACCGTGTTGTTACGGCAGCCTCACTTGCTGCACGATCATTTTTATTCATTTATTTGCTTGATGCTTATTTGTCTAGAACATAAGCTCCATGAGAGCAGTCAATTTGTCCATCTTACCATTATCTCTCCATTACTTATTGCAAAGGCTGGTGTGGTAGGAAACACTTGAAACACTTGAAACTCAGCAAACACTTGAATGGATGCATGAGTGATAGAAAACACTTTCAGGCTTTACTGTTTACCATACATTGTTTTTTTTAAAGTTTTTTTCTCTTCTTGTTTAGGCTGCTAAATCTTGAGACTGAATAAGATAGTTATTTGGACAAAAAGTTAGTGGATTTTCTGTCATTTCCAAGGGAAAGCAGAAGTGCTCTTCACCTTCGCAGAGATGTAGTGTTTTTGTCTTGTTTTGGAATTGGAGCTCTTTTTCTTAGAACCAGGAGTTTATAATGGCCAGAGAGTGCTTCCTGTTCCTGAGGAGGCATTCCTGAGGAGGTATTTAAGGAGAGCATATAAAGTGCTTTCTAGACTGTGACTTTTAATAATGCTCCTCACTAGTTACCTCCCCCCACTAAAAAAGCACCCACATTCTTCAGAGCCTCGTGTCTCTGATTTCCTGCCCTTACTCAGGGACAGATAGGAAGGGACAGTCCTAGGCTGCCACAAAGGTGATGGCAACCTCAGAAGGACTCTTCACTCTCTAAGTTATTTGTGGGGGGATGAGGAAGATGCAGTTCATCAGCTTAATTTATTAATTTTGCTGCTAGGGTTTTATTCCTCTCACTCTTTCATTACAACCCTCTCAGGCATCCTTTCTTTAGTCAACCATTTGTCTGCCACAGGCCCAAACCAAAAACAAAGCAAAGGGTCATTCTGGTACCAGAATGCACACTAAGAATAGGAATATAAAAAAATTTACTCATGAAATAGATATATTTGTTCAGGCCTTAACTGAGTATGGTAAAAATACCTATGTAGGGCTGTTATTAAAATACGTATCTTACTTTTAAAATCAGCTTTATAGAGGTTTATATTTCACACAAGGAAATCTCTTGTTTTAAGAGTACACACAGTTCAGTGGCTTTTTACAAATGGAAGGTACGTACAGATTTTTTTGATAGAAACACGAGGTGTGACCAGTTCTGTTGCAGTCTCTGAAGTGTTGTGGTCATCACTTAGAATAAGTAGGAAAGTATGGATCACATGGGAAAGATGAAGCCGATCCCAAAGTAAAGGAAAATAGCAGCAGAACAACTTGGCGTTCTTACCTGTTATGGCAGCCCATGTGGTCCTGATGGCTATTGTCTGGGTAAGCTTTCTGGAATCACACAGTTTCTCCCAGTTATACAGAAATATAGATCATTATACTGCTTATTGTCTGATGGTAGTTTTCTGGAGAGATTTTTTTTTAAAAACAAAATTGAGTGAAATTCATGCTTGTGGGTAAAGTTTACATTCAATTTAAAACAGAATTTTATTGATTGTGTTCTCATTTGGAATAACTGCAGGGAAAATCACCTGGGCTAACAACACAAGTTGGATACCGTTACTAGGGATTTAGCTGTAAAGTGAAACTCATTTCAGTTTCAGTGGTGACAGCTATTGCATGAATTTTCCTGTGATGTCCTTCACAGTGGGGAATGGTACATTGTAGCTTTGGTTTCCGTGATCTCCTACTCACCCAAGAAATCCAGACTTCAGGGATTGTGGTTTCTAAATGTCTGAGTGACCTAGCTTATGCAGACAGAGGGTTTTTTTCCTTTCCCTGTCAAACGTCTGAAGTGGTAAAACTGTGATTGCAAAAGTGGCTGTATGGGTGATGTCCAGAGAGCTTTGTTTCCTCCTCCTGAAGTTGTTTTTACATTTGTGTGCTTATCACACCTAGCTTTATTTGAAAAGATTCTCCTGGAACTTGGTGTATTTTTATAGATTAGTGTAGGAGATTATAGTTTATTTTGAAAGATATATTAGCTTACTTTTTTAATGGTCCAAATAAATACGTTTCCTAGATGCAGAGGTCAGTTTTGAGTATTTTTGATGCTTTCTTCACTACTTTTTATATCAGTTTGAAATATGTGATAAGCTATAGCCTGCCAGACAGAAAGGAGTAAATAGTGTTAACCTTTTTGGGTTCAGGAGTACTGGGAAATGCTTGACAAAGAAGGGAAATATATTTCATATATTACTGTTTTATAAATCTTAGAATCTCTATCTGTTGGGGGGGAGAGAGGACAGAGAGACACTCCTAAAGGATAGGGCAGGAATTCTTTTCCCTGTGGCTTAAGATGTTGTAATCCACATTTACATCCTACCTAGTATGGCTTCTTAGGAAACAAAATAAAGCACAGGTACAATTAAATGTTGAGGTGGCTGAAGGAGACCCAAAGACTCCCAAATAGAAAGGAGTTATAGCTTAATTTTGCCCTAAGGAAATCATTTAGATTGCCTCTTACTAGTCAGAATTCAAGGTTGCTTCCTTAATAGGATAGATGACCAACTGTGGCTAGAGTTTAAATACTTGATTCCCAGGTAAAATGTAAAAACAAACACATTTGCAGTAGATTTAAAATATTCCACTTAGTGGGCTTAATTATGGCTTAGTCTGTGCTCATCACTGGCAGAGATTAATCTCAGTTTGGCAAATAGAAGTCTGGGTAAGTAAGGTTAGGTAACTATTCCGAAGGGGTACCCAGTGCTCCGGAGAATTATGTGATTGTCTCAAGTTGTTTTGTCCTTTTTGTGTCTCTGCATGGGGTCCAGCAGATGAGGTCCACCAGTGAGGGTCCAACGAGCTCCCCCAAAGAGGAGATGGGCACCTCAACACAGCCTGCTGAGTAGATTCTTGACTCCTGTCACAGAAGAAGAATTTCAGGATGTACCAGTGCAAGGCTTGGGCAGATTTACTACTCATACATGGTAGGGGAAGCAGGAAAGTCCCTAGCTACAGCAACTGGAGGGGCTCACTCTGTTCTAGGGGTTAGAACTGGAGGGGGTTAGAAAGGTGCAAATTGGGGTCCTGAAAATTATTTTACTTTCTCTGATCTTGGTGTCCTCAGTTTTGAAGGCAGCTGAGATGGACTAGGTAAACTCTGGGCTAACAAGTCCTGTAATACAGACACTCCCTATACAGTTAGCATGCATAAGTGCAGAGCCGAGCAAGGCCTGTCCCAAAGTTTTAGGTGGTAGGGGAGACAAAATTGAGTTTCCTTGACTCCTTTCTACCTGTCTTTAGTTTTTATCCTACCTCAGGTGTACAGCAGTGCTGGTGAGTACAAACATGAGAAT